GTTTGCCGGGGTCGGGGCCGGGCGCGGCGCCGGAAGCTTGACGTCCTTGACGGCGACGCGCACGGTCCGGAAGGGATCGTCGCGCGGGAAGTTGCCATTGTAGATGACCTCGAGGTGTCCGTCGTCGTCGGCGTCGGAGACGACGACCGCGCCGAGCCACATGACGAGGCGCAGCGTCGTGGTCCCTAGCCTCCCCAACGACGTGCGGACGCGCACCTCGTCGCCCTTCTTGAAGGACATCTTGTTGACAGGCGGCGATCCTCCTGACGGCTTCTTCCCCTTGGCGTCGACGGCGCGGTGGATGATCGGGCGCGAGGAGCGGGGACTCGAGCGGCGGGGAAGCGCCATGGACGAACGAGCTCTGCTGCGAGGATGGGTGGAAGGAATTGTGGTGAATGCGGAGACGGCGAGGGGCGGCGCGCTTGGATTTATCGGCAGCCGAGTCCGAGTTCGAATTGAAATCGTTGAAGGAAGCAAAGCGTGTGGATGCCAAGCAGAATACTTCTGATGAATAATCCGATTATACGCATCTATGCTCTGCGAGACATTCCTAGCTTCAATCCGAACTCGACTCGAAATCGGAGATCTCCGTTTACGCGAAGGGCAAGGAGATGACGGCGGACCGGCGGCTCAGTTTCCACCATCTCCATTTGCAGAACTAGTCGCAAAAATGGAACGAGCTAGCGACGGAATGCGTGTTCTCGCATCTGTCGTGGAGAGAAGCTCGCCGAGGAAGCCGGGGATGACATCGAACACCTGGCGGCTGTCACAGAAAACAGAGGTGTTCCGGCACCCTTTGCCAAAGATCTCGTTTCAAAAGGATTGTTCATATAGTATCTCGGAGAAAACAGGCAAATATATGTCCGGAGAAATTCGATGCAATATTTCCTTTTAAAAAAAAAATTCGATGCAATAGGCTCACTGCATCCACAAATCGTCGTGATCAACGTTGTCTTAAATTGTGAAAAAAAAAAGGCACCACAGAACTACCCCTGCATCCCACAAAGTCTTCATTTCTAGGTTTATATATCCAACATTTGACCGTTCGTCTTATTTTAAAAATATATATATATTTTTTAAAAAAGTTAGTCAAACATAAAGTATTATTTATTTTTTATCATCTAATAACAATAAAATTACTAATCATAGAAAACTTTGAAATAAGAGAGTGTATCCAAAACTGAAAATGGAGTTTTTGTCGGATGGAGGGAGTACTGCAAGAAGCTTATCGCTGTTTAAAGAAATAAAGCACCTCCCCCAGTCCCAAACGCCCATTTTTCACACGCATACTTACTAAACCATTAAATGCACCCTTTTAAAAAAAGAAAGATGTTTTTAAACAATTGTATTAATCTATTTATTTAATTTTTTAATCTAATACATAATTAATCATATGCTAATCTACCACTATATTTTACGTGTCAGAGAAAAAGAGTTCCTAACAATAAACAAACACAGCCAAACGAGGTAAGCTTATTCTAGCAATAAAAATCAAAGAGCAATTAGCACATGATTGATTAACTATTAACTAGTATACATTTCAAAAATAATTTATTTAATATTTTAACAAAATAATTTTTTTTTACGAAACATACCATCTATCAGTTTGATATTTTTATCATACACGGGAAGTATATATATAACTTATTTATCCCGTAAGGTGAGGGCACATAGGGGCGGCGTGAGACAGTGAGACATGGATAATATTTTTATCCCTTAGCCAACCCCCCCCCCCCCCCAAAAAAAAAAGTGGAAGTGGAACTGAGCGAGAAACTAAAAAAAGGGAAACTCAGCGAGCTGTTTGGCGTGACGAATATTTGTGTTAGGGATAAAATTGCAACTGAAATTTTGAAGGGTTTACATGTAATTAGAGAACTTGTTAGGGACACCATTGCAACCCGATTATTACTCCTATATAACAACAACGCAGCCGCGGGCCGCCGCCTTCTCCTCACGTAAACGCCGCGTCCTCCTCCTCTCACGAGTAACATGGACAGCCGCGACGACGACGCCAGGTGGCGGCAGCTCGGCCCTCTCCTCCACGCCAGGGACCTCGCCCCGGCCGACCTCGACGCCGCCCTCGCGCTCGCCAGGGCGTACGCCGCCATGGAGCGGTTCGATCTCGCGGCGCGGGAGTGCGAGCGCGCGCTCGCCCTCGCCCTCGCCGACGACACGGCGGCGGCGGCGGCGGAGGAGCTTCTGCACCTGCAGCTGGAGCCGCCGCCGACCAAAGAGGCGCGGATGCTCGCCAAGGAGCGGCTCCGGTTCCTCCTCCTCCAGGCCTCGTCGAAGGCCGTCGCCATGGCCGCCGCCGCCGCCGCCGACGACGACGAGCGCCGCCGCGGCTTCCTGACGGTGAGCGTCGAGGATCTGAAAGCGCACTACACAGGAGAGCCACTATCGGACGCTCAGATGAGCGCCCTCGCCTGCGCGGTGGACTTGGCCAAGGACACCGGAGATTGGATCTGCTGGATGTGCCCCGATCCGCAATGCATGATGGTTTTCCTCACCGCGGAGTGCTTCCAGTCGCACGTCGCAGACGAGTTCTTCCCGGATCTCCAACGATCGCCGCTGCTCGTGCCGGAGAGAATATCTGAAGAACAAGAGGCAGAGCTGATCGGATCTTGCGCGGTTAAATTAGCGCCATCCGATGACGATGATGATGATGAGAGCGAGAGGTTCTTGAGCAAGATCAAGAGCACGCTCCAGCGCATCAAGGATCGCAAGGCACTGTCCGTCGATCTCTTGGATAACCTGGTCGAATTCACCAACAGATGGACGATTGAAGAAGAAACAGCAGCAGCAGCTGCTTCTGCTGATCCTCCCCAGAATCCTATCTGCAGCATCGCTAAGCTGCATCCTGTGGCGCTTCACGTCCTGGCACTCACTCTGGATATGATTGTGCCTGGATTTTTTGAACGATCGACTATGCCTGGATTGAGTGCTGGTGATGATGATGCCAAGCTGCAGGATAGTAATGATCATTTTGATTATGTCTCGGTCGTTCGTGAGGATTTCGTTCCTTCCATAGTTGTCGAAGAGGATGCGTTAAGGATCATTATCGATGGTTCTTCTAGCAATCAAGATGCTCTCTTTCGCTGGCTATCTAGACCTCGGAGACAAGACCCGGTTACTTCATGGAACAACATGAGGCAAGCCTGTCTTGATAACGGAGCTCGTGTCCTCGAAAAGTTGATTGCAAGTGCAGCTGCATTGGTAGAGAAAATCGAGCTAAAACGTGGCTTAATAGAGATGAATACGCATGAAAGTTATTTTACTAAAAAGGTTCATTTTACTGTACCCTGAATTTCTGTTAATTTTCAGATAGTGTTTGTACCTTTGATATTATACTGAACCAATCTTCTAAGCTTTGGCTGTAAAATGTGCTGCAGGCTAAATTAGATATCGATATCTTGCAATTGGATGCCGAAGTTGATGATTTGAAGAAAAAGCTCGTGGAAGTCTGTACTTGTGATTATCGTAAAGTCAGCTTACCAGCCATGAAGGATTACCTATGGGTTAGTCTACTACTATAGTTTTTATGTTATACATAGGACTTTATTTAATTTGTTTAGAATATACCACCTATATATTTGCTTAATTATCATTCTTTTCATGGTTGTTTTACTCATGTTTAACAGGATAAACTGCGCGATGATCCACCTGAAAAGGTATTATGTTCCGAGGATGGTAATGTTGCTGACTGCTGAGGCAAGTATTAAGACATAGATTCAGTTCAAGAAGATATTAATGTGACAAGAATATAATGTCCTTTTCTTACTCAGAAGATATAAAAACTTTGATTAGTTTCACTTAATCGTCTTTGCATGATTTTGTGTGCTTACCAGGCCTGAATATCGGCACACCTGAAGTATATATACAGTCTTACCAAGATGATGAAAAAGGTGCCAAGGACAATCCAAAGGGTGGAGAACTGGAGATTCAACTGCGCCTCACGATATATAATAGTGTTGTCGAAGAGCTTCCAGGCGATAGTAAATTAATTAGGATGGGTTTAGTTCTTTTCTTACTTAAAAGAAATAATAGTATCGTCTTGCTTTCACCTCTCATTCAGTGCGTGGACTGGTTTAGTTTAGTTTCATGCTTTGCCGTACTGAACAAAGAAAAATGTTCTGATTTTAATTTCGTTTTGCAATAATCTGGCCAGAAGCTTTGAGTTGCCTCCAAGTGCTTAGGAAAAGTAAGCATGATCCTTTGTATTATTGCTTTTCCTGGAAGTCGTTCCACTATGTATGTTGGACCGCCTATGCATCACTCGGGTGATTTTTTAAAAAAAATCAACCAGATTTTTTCTTCCCTTGGATTTGCATCCACCGGACTACAAAATAAAATAACTAATACAAATTTACTTACACAACAATTTTATCATAATTACAGTGCACTTACATGTCATATCAACTAAATTTATATATGTAATTTTAGTTATATAAGACTGTAATTTTATATTTTAAAGAAAATAATAAGTACATATTTACTTACATATTATTTTTATTAAAATTACAGTGCACTTACATGTCAAATCAACTAAATTTACAAATACAAGTTTAGTTATATAGGACTGTAATTTTATATTTCACGACAACGACGAGAGGGACGGTGTCTCTCGCCGATCAGTGTTGGCCGTGCTACCAGCGGCTGGCTCGACGGTTAGAGGCCACCGTGTCACCGTGCTTCTCCAATATCCATTATCGTGTGCGCTTGGGCTAGCTAGACACGAAGGCCGATGTGCTGGTGTCCGACGCGCCGGCTGACGAGGCTGCAAAAAAAAAAACATGAAATGTCAGCAAAAAAATCACGCGAGTGATCGATAGCAAAATCGATCCAGTATTGTTGTTGGACAAAGACCTGAAGTGAACTTATTCCTATCAAAAACTAGTTGGGCCGATCACAAACTACCCATTCATTCTGATGGCTTTCGCACGAATCTCAAAGTTCCCCCCTCCCCTTCTTCCCCTTCTTCCCTTTCTCTTCCATTCCATAGCTCTTCCCTCCCTTCCTCTCGTCGGCGCAGGTCAGGGCTGTCTCCAGAAGCTTCTAGAATGGAAGCGCCGCCGCCGACACCGCATCCCTTCGCTAGCGGGTGTCGTGGGCCCCACCACAACGGGCCTCTCTCTCTCTCCGTCTCTCTGGCAGTTGGGCCCCACCCCAACGGCCGAAACCTCAGCAACCGCCTCGCCGTCGCCGGCTACATGTCTCCTCCCCCTCCTGCTCCGCCGAGAGAGACTTGCTCCCCACCCGCCTCCTCATCCTCCGCCTCCGCCGCCACCTTCGTTCTCCGCTTCGGCATTTCGTCGAACACCTCGCGCCCCTCCCCCTCGGCCGACCGGGGAGCGGTGCGGCGGGACCCAATCCGCCGCCTTCTGCCTCGCGCCGTGACCACGTCCACGACGACGAGGACGACGCCGCCGCAGCAGCAGCACGTCTGAGGCTGAGGCCGAAGCCGCAGCTCCTCCCATCCCATGGCGGGTGTTGTCGTGGGGAGCAAGAGCAACCGGGACTGGTCGGACTGCGACGCCGCCTTCCGCGAGGAGGCGGGCAGGGCGATCGTCGCGCTGACGGAGGAGGGCGAGCAAGGGCACGCGCACGGGCTCTCGCTCGCGACGGCGCTCGTCGGCAGGTACCCGTGGTCGCCACTCGCCCGCGCCATCCTCGCGCGCTGCTACCTTCAGCGCAACAGTCGGCAGCAGGAGAGGGTTCAGCTCGAGCTGGCGGCGGTGCTCGCCCCGCGCTGCCCCCACATCGCCTCGCTGCTCATCGACGCGCTCATCTCCATGGATTTGTTTGACGAGGCAGCGGAGGTGCGTGACCGCGCCCTCCGCGTGGCGGAGCCCACCGACCCGGCGTTGCACTACACCTTCGTGAGCAACCGCTACTCCTCCGCCGATCATCACGACAACCCCTTCGATCTCGAGTACAGGAAAGCCCACGGCCGAGAGACGATCCGCGGGCAGCGTGCGAGGATCGAGAAGGGCAAGGGGCAAGCCGCGGCTTCACCGGAGCCCGCGTCCACGCCGGAGTGGCCGCCGGAAACCGTCGACCTCGGAATCGCCGGCGATCGCTGGAGCCGCATGAGCGAGGAGGAGCGGCAAGCGCTCCTCAAGGTGAGTTTTGGAGAGATGAAGTCGTACTGCCGCTCACGAGGGTTGATGGATATGACAAGTATGCTTTCCGATGCTGAGGTGTTCGTCAAGAAGGGTTGGTCTTGCCCTTTCTGCTCCGGAATGATCTACGTGGAATTCGCGGCTTTCAAGAGTCACATCGATGAGGAACATATTGTGGGCAAAGAATTTCTGTCATTAGTACCCGAAAGAATATCTGACAGTGAGAGGGAGCTTCTCAGATCATGGAGATGGGAGCCAACCGATGGAGATGATTTGGCAGGGAGGACAAAGATCTTGCGCGAGGTTAAGGAAATCGTCTTTGAGCTCATTGATTTGGAAGTCGTTTCTCTCAACCTTCTGTACATCATGCACAAGTTCATAATGAACCGGGTCAGGCCAGTAGCACCTTTGGTAGTATCCATGTGTGGGTCTTGTGGGATTGGACAGTTGAGTTCCACACACCTTCAGGAACTGTGTGAATTGCTCAAGCCGCTTAAGCTCGTTGTGCAGACCCAGAGAGGTTGGGAACATCAGAAGCATCACAATGATGAACAAGAGAGCCAGCAAGATTCGCTCGTTGTGCATACCCATAGAGGCTGCAACCATCATAAGCGTCGCAATGGCGAACAAGAGAGCCAGCAAGATTCGCTTGTTGGGATTACCTGGTCCCAAGAGACAGGCACACTATCTTTTGATTGTGAGAAGATTGCATCAAGAGAAACTGATGGTTCTAGCCAGGCAGATCGACTTTTTGCCTGTCTATTATCTGAACCTTTGCTTGAGGATCCCATGGAATTGTGTTTCAGCATGTGGAGAGAATGTTTTGTTGATGGACCTGACATTCTTAACAACATAAGTCGAGCATTGGGTAAAGCGAAGCTGAAATTCAGCTCATGGGAAGAGCTAAAAGGAATACAAGGAGGTGTTTATTTCCTTCCTAAGGCCATTTTTGAGAGAGATATTGACATCAAGACTTATTTTGATTCTTGGGTATGTTTTCCTTTTTTTAAAAAAAAAATTATGTTTGCTCTCTAATTTTATACCATCATTTTAATCTCGTTGATCAATGCTTAAATCCTAGTTGCTGTATTTGCAGATTGGCTCTGCACGAGTTGAGATGCTATTAATTGATGCTGAGGTGGATTACTGGAAGGAAAGTCTTCTGAAAACTTGTCAAGTTGATTGCCTTGCGGTTATTTCACCTATTGCAAAGGCTTGCCTTTGGGTCAGTATGGTTCTTTCAGCACGAACTGAACTTGTAAAGCATGTCTGTAACTTTATTTGTGTATGATATTCATTGTTGACAGGCAAAATTGGTTAATGATCCCCTAGAGGATGCTTTACTTGCTCATCCACAAAATTGTCATAAACCACAGGTTCCTTTGGATGCCATTCTCCGGGTAACGTGTGTTTGGATCCTTCAGTTTTTAATATTTAGCTATTAGTTTTCCTATCTCTGATTCTCTCTGCATAACTGCAGTCTTTGTGGCACATAAGGAGATTCTGCGGTGATCTCTGGGAGATACCATGTATATCCCCTGATGTTAAAGCCAGAGTATATCGCGCTATCTTGTTGCGTATCTTCCGTTCTTGGGACCAGTGCAAAACATGTGACCTACCTAGTTCAGCGATATTCATGGTTGATTCTTTGAGAAGTTTTGTGATTGATGAAAAGGTTTGCGTTCGCTTTCTGTTTCCCACCTATCTAAATGCAGCCTGTGACCTCAGGGAAAATACCAGAGAGCAACTTTCTTATCAAATGCTAACCGTCTCCATGTAGTTTACTCATATTTATAATGGATAAGTTATAAATATTTCATATAAAATGAACTGGATAGCTGCCTGATATCTTTCAAGTTTTGAGTTTTGACTCCATAGTTCTGTTTGGGCACTATTGGAAAAGATAGGCAAAATGGCATTCTTCTTAAACTACTTATTGGTACGTACTACTCCCAAGCTTGTTTTACATTCTCATTGGCTCATTGCTCTAATACACAAAGTGATTGTTTAGTATTTTAGGCTTTTAATTTGAGAGATAATACAATTTATTAAAAGAAACAGAAATGTTTACAGAAATAAACATTTCTGTGATCCATATGAATCTGTGCTAATCTTTTGGCCATTTTGTGCAACAATTTGCCGTTCTTTAAAGTAAATTAAATTAAAACCCTGTTTGTCGTGATAGAATGTTGCAGGTTCAATTCTGCAAATGCTTATTTTACTAATTTGATACAAGAGTCACCTTTATATTGTCTGAGTCTTGACTGCAAACCAAGTTCTGTCCCACTTGCACTTCCGAGTGTACATATTGACTGTAACATAAGGAAAGTTTGAGCATGTTGCTCTCGTAGCCAATAAGATCACTGGTTCTTCTTTTTTTTTAGGCTGGAAACATTTCTGCGTATAGAGTTGTTGAATCAATCCTTGAGAGGCTGCACGTGGCACAAACTCCTTTGCATTTTGAGTTCAAGGGTGAATCTTTGGTGCCACAAACAGCAATAGTGCCCAGCCTTCTGGGTTGTATATGCCTAGCACACAATCTTTTTGGGTTGCACATTATTGAGAAGAAATGCAACTGTGTGAATGAGGTCCCCATGAAAACCAAGTCTACATTCTTCCACAGTATTAATTTGGGTTCTGTTGAAGGAACTACGGTACATACTGCACAGTGTATCCTTTTGATATTTCCTTTTTTATATGTCCATCTTTTCTTTAATTAGCAAACTAACATCCTTTTACTTATTCAGTTGGAGTCTTTCAGTGAACTCTTGAAAGCTGTAGACAAGCAGTCAGTTTGTGACTTCAGGAATGGTGGCTGTGGGCATAGGATTACCCGATACCTATGGTATCCACCACATTTTTTCATGATAGGTACCGCCTTCTCGACTAACATTTCAATGTAATTGTGTGCATATGTTTCTTCTATGTAGGAGAAAGGAAAGATAAGCGAAAGAAATCATTGGATCAGTGTATCATCTGATCTTTAATTTTATCCTGAAAACCATATCAATCGTTGAATATAAATTACACCATATCTGCTATTGTAATGGCTGCAACATAAAATAATTAATCGCCACGACCTTTCCTGCGACAATTTGATGCCAGCCTTCTGTGCACATACATCATTTATTCATTTCTGGCAATTAGGGAAAACCTAGGAGACAACAAGCATTCTTCTTATTAATATGAAGAAAAGAAATATAAGGGGACTTTTAAGCTGAGTAATGGGGACAGATGTCTGCATCTTTCATCAATCGACCTAAACTTAGAGCCTAAATCGAGAATATCTAGGAGGACCTAGGCATCTGGTGTCATTGAGAAGAAGACGCTAGATCTGAGATAGAGGACTCGAACCTTGGTCGGGACTGGGGATGCACGCAAGCTGATTTAGTTTCTCTTCTATTGCTGTTTTGTCACAGTTTTGAGATGGCCAGACAACAAGGGAAACCATATTAACATGCATAAAGTATTGATCAGCCTAGCAGCGGAGTTGGACATTAGTCATATCTACGAAGGTCTGCAATCAGAAAGCATGTACACTCTGGTTTCTGCAGTACGTGCTGAGAGAAGTCTTTCCTTTTTATGCATATCTGTGAAAAAAAAAGTGAATTCATTTGTTCCTGAGGTTGATTCGTTCTTTACCTTTTCTTCTCAGTTTCAGTGTGTTTTTGTATATGAATAGTATCTAATGTACTAGTCTGGGGTTTATTTATGTATGATTTGTCATTTATGTTATACCTGTCAAATCAGTTCAAATATTGCTTTGCTATCATGTTGGTAGATCATTGTAGGAGTATATTTTATTATCTTCTTTGGTCGGATCAGTTGCTTGGCAATAGGCAATTGTAGTGTCAGATTATCGTAAGTAATGCTTGCCTGACTAGTATGGAGTTCTGTTTCTGGTATTCGCGCGATAGCATCTGGGTAATTTTCAAACTGTTTTTAATGGAAGGTATGCTATGATGATGAGGGGCGGCAATACCTCTGCTTTGGTCGTGACGAGGCAAGGTGGCTCATACATGACAGCACGACAGTCCAGGCAATTCCTTGTCAGCTTTCGCACTTGAGTTTTCACTCGAATTTGGTTTCAGAATTATTCGATATCATCATCATTCGTAAATGTTCGTCTCCTTGCAGCAAGCTGAATCCTGGAAAGGATTAATCGACCGGTACAGTCAGGCCAATCTCCGTCCTGAGATCCTTTTCTTTGAGCATGGCAGGAAGCGTGATCATAGACTGTTGCTGTGATTATCGAGAATTAACTCCTCGATCCTTCCCTGAAAAGAAAAATTTAGCAAGTTTGATGTGGCCGTATATTGGTAGGTTACTAGGTTACCATTGAGGCAGTCCTCTGATCCTCTCCTTGGAGCACATCAAGGAGTTGCAACCGTTTAGCTGACTATTGTTGTGATGTTGATTGCTGAGGCGTTGAGTAGAGACCGTATCTCCTATGTATTCTCATGTGTTTTGAGATCAGATCATCATGCCTATGGGGCACAATCTCGTATATGCTGGAGTTTTCATGCTTTGCTTAGCTAGAACAAATATCGCTTGTCGTCTGTTTCTTCTTCTGGTTGCTACCTGCAAATTTGCAAATACCGTGATTGTCATACGCCCATACCAGAATGTTTCTGGGTTTAAAACAGTCAACAGTGATGATCTGAATTCTGAAAGAAGATCTAAGCTGATTTCACTAATTCACTGCACACTTCACACCAGTCCTATGCACTGGCCTATCCAGTAAAGGTGGTATAAATGGAAAACGAGATTTGAAAGATAAGTTTTGAAGTGTCAAACACCAAACCGTCTTGGTTTCTTGACATACTCCCGTAGGACTGCAGGATAACTGTATCGAGTGTCGATAAGTTTGATCACCACCGTTCCAGGATAGGCCAGTGCATAGGACTGGTGTGAAGTGTGCAATCAGCTTATATCTTCTTTCAGATTAGAGTTAATTTCACTTTGGCCACCTTATGAGTTATGATGAATTGATGATTGTGATCGAACATTTGGCTCGTCAACAAATAAGGATAGCATGCATTTATTGTTCTTGAGATAACAGAGAGAACGAGCCAGCGTATAAATGAATTCTTGATATTTTATTCATAATCGATGATGATTACATGTTCTTCTTCTCATGCGAAGAACTCGAAAAAATAATCCTACCTACGACAATCACTGTCAAAAAAACAGAGGAAAACAGATACATGTCTGATTCCTACAAGCTTCTGCAGCTACTGCTACAACTGAAGAACACTGATCACGATGCAAAGAGGGCCTCGGATTTGGCCCGCAGCTGCTCCTTCTCCAGCACAAACATCTTCAGCCGCGGCAGATTCTTGCCGGCCGTGGTCGGCCGCGGGGCCGCCATGTTAGCCGGGGTCGGGGCCGGGCGCGGCGCGGGCAGCTTGACGTCCTTTACGGCGACGCGCACGGTCCGGAATGGGTCGTCGCGCGGGAAGTTGCCGTTGTAGATGACCTCGAGGTGTCCGTCGTCGGCGTCGGAGTCGGAGACGACGACCGCGCCGAGCCACATGACGAGGCGCAGCGCCGTGGTGCCTAGCCTCCCCACCGGCGTGCGGACGCGCACCTCGTCGCCCTTCTTGAAGGACACGGGCGTCGCCGTCGACGGCGCGGATGACATCTTCTTGACGGGCGACCCTGCTGATGGCTTCTTGGAGACTACTCTCCCCTTGGCGTCGACGGCGCGGTGGATGATCGGGCGCGAGGAGCGGGGACTCGAGCGACGGGGAAGCGCCATGGACGACGAGCTAGCGCTGCTGCGAGGATGGGTGGAAGGAATTGTGGTGAATGCGGAGACGGTGAGGGGCGGCGCGCTAGGATTTATCGGCAGCCGAAGCGGAGTCCGAGTTGAAATCGGTGAAGGAAGCAAGTCGGAGACGGAGTTCGAGTTGAAGTCGGTGCTTAGAGGCTGTGATTAACGGTTAATCCTTCTGAATCCGATTCTGCTCTACGCGGCATTGATCAATCGAGACCGATACGAAATCTGAGATCGCTACTACGGGAACGCGAACTGATGGAGGTATCGCCGCCTCGCCGGAGGGCAAAGAGACGACGGCGGCTCGGTTTGCACCAGCACACCGCCTCCATAAGAAATACCAATCCGATAAATGGAACGAGATATTAACGGAGGGACATGTATTCCTTGCTTCCGTGCACTAATGTGCCGGTTCTAAAAGTTTATATCATATATAGGTTCCGGCACCAATTACCGTCGGTTCTTGAACCAGTATTATAGGTGTAGGGGTGCACCCGTTTTTTATTTTTGCAGGTGCTAAAAAAATCAAAAAAAAATATTTGATGTATTTTTTAGGCATCTATACCATTATACTCTTCCCCACAAATCAGATGATACATGTGCCCATATTCATATACACACTCTTTCCCACAAATCAGATGATAAATGTGCCCATATTCATATACACGTGCTAAGCAAAATTCATACTCTCGTTCCCACAAATCACATGATACATGTGCCCATATTCATATACACGTACTAAGAAAAATTCAAACTCAAGACTTTTTGCTTCAAACAAAGTCACCTTACATCTCACCTACAAACACTTTCGGAAGCATGGTTACCAACCTTGCCTCCCGACACAGAAAACAAAGCACGCGATTATAGTGAGATTAATTAAGTATCTATCTATTATATACTAAAAGTCCATTAAACTTTCTACAAACGCTTTCAAGCCGTCACATGGCGCTCCTACAAATGCTCCTAGGCCGCCATATGGCACAATATAATTTCACTGTCGATTTTCACTTAAATTGTGGACCCATTATTTTACATTGTTAGATTAGATCTTTATCTGTCATTGATTTTCACTTAAATTGGTGGACCCATTATTTTATACCAATGAATTAGATCTACCTTTCTCCCGTACGTATGTATGGTTTGCCGGAAGGATGATTAGTATCTATGGTTGTTAGAAGTTGAGATTAATTAGCTGTCATATTGTATTACTACTAATCATAGCTATATTTATTATATGCACGGCAATATATATATATATATATATATATATATATATATATATATATATATATATATGTATATGTATGTATGTATGTATGTATGTATGTGTATATATATGGGAGCTAGGAGATTAACACGAAGATTATACATAGCTAATTAAATTAGTTATTATACATGATTTGTGGAAGGAAATTAACGGTAATATAACATATACAGCTAATTAAATCAGTTTACATGGCTTTACCGTGATATTACGTAGCTAATTCGAACCAAGCAATCTCCAGTTAAATCGTCCAGCTTAAATCGGTGTATCTAATATTACCTTTTTAAGTCATTATGATGACTTTAAAATTAAAAAAGATTTTCTAAAAAACAAAATACATGATAATTGGTTTTTGACCTAAATGATTTAGAAAAAAAATAGAAAAACAAAGTCCCCTCCACCTCACCCCCACCATTAGACACGCACAACACTTTCTGCCCCCTCCACTGATCTATATTTTTTTAGTAGTTATGATAAAAAAAAACAACCACAGTTATTAGTTATTTTAAGCTATACATATTATATCTAATCTAACTGTTTCTCTATACATAATTAAACCAACAATTTAAGATTAAAAATAAATTAAAATCGATAATACATATTACCGTCAGAACAAAATCAATGGTCTTTAAAATATAACTTTTTACCATATAAAAATATATTACTCCACAAATATGTGCAAATATAAACTAGATCTATAATATAAATAAAAAATATCAAATCAATTATCTCTAAACATTCATCTTTTAAATTATTTTAAATTATATAATCAATTTATGATCCCTTTGTATTTCTTTAATTAAATAAAATATTTGTGTCTTATAAAATTTATATTGCGGTTCTAAATACATCACCACATCTTGGGCAAATATATAATAATTAATGTTATGATAATTTTAAATAATTTCATATCATATTTTAGGATGTCAAATATCACTTCATAAATGTACTACGTAATTGCGAAAAAGTAAAACAATTTAGTTGTGTTTTTTCAAGTAGACCTGATTTAATTTTAATTTGTTTGGATTAAGCCAAGTGACACTCTAAAATCTATCCATTGATTTTCTTTTAAATTGGTGGGTCCAATACTTTAACTATTAGATCGAATAAAAAAAGTATATGCACCCACCTTCTCCACACCCTTCCCTGTTACGGACGTACTCTCCTCATCTCCTCTTTCCTTTCCTACTCTCTTAGGAAAAAAAATCTTCAAATTTTCTAAACCATTAGACTTATCTCAAAATTTACCAATTATATTTGTAAACAATAAATAAATTGCCCGCGCATCTGCGCGGGCTACCTTTCTAGTTAGCCTAAAAAACTTAAAAAATAGATTAATATGATTTTTTTAAAACAACTTTCATATAAAAAACTTTCACAAAAAATGCACCGCTTAGTAGTTTGAAAAGTGTGCGCGTGGAAAATGAGAGAAGTGAGTTGGGAAAGAGGGGAAAAGAATACTGTTTGTCTTCGAAACAAATGCTATTCTTTTAAGACTACTATCATCCAAACTTATAATCTATATTTAATACCATAGATAAGCTCAAATGAAAAGTGTAGATCGCATCTATATCTACAACTTGTATATAGGTTTTGTTTTCATGTTTAGAAATTTTAAATATACGGAAACGGCGCTCGATCGATCGGGAATTTCCGTGACCGTTTTCACCCCTAATTGGGATGAAGCTACCAAGACAACTGGGACAAAACATAGATCAAACTGATTCTCAAATATATTTGGATCACATACGAATTTACATGTTGATCCTTCTGTGAAAATAACTTATGTGCCTCTGAGTTTATTCATCAATCTATCCCATTATAATCAGAACCTATCATGTCAAAATATTTTTTTAATTAATGTAAACAATATTTAGTCCTCCAAAACGAACATCATGACTTTTAAAGCTATCCTTATAAGATTAAGTTGGTAAAAGACATGATTTATGAGCGATTTCACCCGTTACAACGCATAGATATTTTGCTAGTATTTTAAAAAACAAGAGGACCAAATACTCTTGCCGTCAAAAAAAAGACTAAGCCTAGCTATGTCTAGGTTCTTTTGGGATTCGTTGATGTTCTTGAGAGCCAAAGTGAGGGAAATACATATGGCCCTTGCCTTCCTTTCAGAAAAGAAAAATGGCACAGAGACTAGCACAAACCACTATCCAATTCAGAATAGAAATGACATTACCAGCTAGATGCCTTGTTTGCTGCATACCCTGGTTCTCAACAAAGGAAAGGAAAGCCAAAGGCGTGCAAAGAATTGGAAGCTGAATCCTAGCTACAAGATCAAAGTTGTCAGCAGGTGGATTGTAATCATACGTGTAATCAGAGGGCAGCTGGATTGTGATTCTGATCTGAACACTTGGATCAACAAAACCAAGGATAACACGCATCATGCATGCATATATTGGTAAAAAAATGAAACAAGAAGAGAAACCTCGATCTTTCATTCATAATCAATGTGAAATTACAGTTGACAGATTGCATGTCCTTCTT